CCACTTGCTTGTGCAAGTCTAAGCTATAGAAGTGTTTGCCTTGGTAAGGAACTCCTTCCAGAGCCAGGTAAGGCGAGATGATGGAGTCACAAAATCAGTTACTTTTCATAGGCTATGCACCAAACTTGAATGATTTTGAAGTTTCCACATCAGAAGAACCAGCTAAATACATCAAACGAGAACATATGGAAGAGGATGATAGATATTTTTATCTAATTTTAAATCATTAACTGCCATAAATATCGTGAGTAAAAAGAAGACCCTGTGTTGAACTGCGCTCAAAAGTGCTTCATTCAAAGAAATCCTCTGTACCTCAAAGTCTTTTAACAACACTTATGCCTTTACTTGATTAGTTATTTCTTAGTTTGTATACCGACACTCAGCAGGCTTTTACGATTGTGATTCACAGTATGTGGTTTCAAAAGCTTTTAAAATGAGTACGCCGTAATATGGCGTAACGCATGGCAAATAAAGTTTGAATCAAAGTTGAACAATAACGTTTGGAGACTAGTTTTGATATGTTCTCTATTTCACCAAACAGAATGAATACCAAAACGTCCGTTATCCTCATTTTCGCCGCGGCCTTGGTAACCACGATCTCTTCAGCCAGCGGAGGTTTAGAAGAGGACATGCCCTACAAAAGCCTTCTTCGTGAGCTATGGAGGAAAGAAAGTGACATGAAGGAAACTTTTGATGAGGTAACTTGGGAGAGGTTTTTCGGATACTTGCTGTGATTCTAGCTCACGCTTGCAAACTCCTCTTATAATCACTTCTCCTTAATTCTTGTTTATTTCTATAGGCCACTAGCATTAAGTCGAAGAGAACCGAAGACTGCGACTTAATCAATCAACCTTGCTCTGTTGCAGTGGATTGTGAGATTTCCACCTGCGAAGGCCAACCCCTTCAATGTTATTATGGTGAATGCGGAAGACAAGAAAGCTATTGGTACAAGCGATAATTAAGGCTTGTTGCTGGATCATTTGTTCAGTTATTGGTTACAGTTGTCTTGTAGTAAATGTTAAACTTTGCCTCCTTTGATTTTCAAGTAAACGATGAATGCACAGCAAAATAGCCGAGTGTTAAAATCGATTGCGTTCAAAACATTCCCCATTCTCTTTGCCGTCATTCCCTTCTTATCCTCATAGCGATGAACACTGCTATAACACGGTTGTGCCGATTATCAAGGAGTGTATCGTAGTTATCTCCCTCTTAGATCTCGTAGTTCAAGCCGATCAACAATCCTACAACTCTGCACACTGGTGATGAAATGAATTAAAACCTTTTAAAAATCCGTAATTTTTAAGAGTTTTCGCCCAAACAGGAATTATCACGGACCTTCAGGTCTTCAGTCACAAATTGAGCCATCTCTCTAGTTTTTAAAACAAATCGGAATGAAAAAATGAAAGGACATCGGGAAGACAAGTGTTACCGGAATGTTTCATATCAATTTGTGCGTAAAAAGAGACAGTAATTCAACCAACCTTTAATATCCACTCGGTAATAGCAGTGTTTGTTACTGAAACAACAAAACAGAATTGAGCCTGCGAATTTATCTCAGAGTGAACCTCTGCAACTTACTTCTCTAGTGTTACATACAGCAGCGTAAAAGAAATGAAGTTTCACCACTTGAATCAACACAAACTGCTTCCGAAAAATTGACTGAATAGACTAAAATCATGTGCCGAGAGCCGGGAATGTTCAGAGTACAAATAAGCTTTCCTGCATTGAACCAGAGGACTTTCAGATTTTCAGTCTGAATCTCTCCCAGCTGAGCCATCTTGGCAAATGATGAGTAAGGTTGTTACTTTTTTTTAAAGATTATTTTTGCGGAATACACCTAGACGAAATATCGAATTTATAGTAAAATAACCAAGTCAAAATACTTACCTGGTTTACCCAAAGCCTTTGTGAACATTTCTTTAACTTGCTTGTTATTATATTATGAATTGACAATCACACAGGAGAGAAACTCTTTGAAAATTCAAACCACAACTGAAAAAATTTAACAAGAGATTAAAGCAAAACACAAATGAAATCTTTTTAAAAAGGGAAATGCCGAGACCCGGGACTGTTCAGGGCTCATATGCGCCCTCCGAATTTGTACTAGGGACCTTCAGATCTTCAGTCTAACGCTCTCCCAACTGAGCTATCTCGGCACCAAGCGTCCAATTGAAGCTTGGTCAAGAAATTTCTATCAATTGAAAAGGGATCTAAACAACTGGACACGTTTTTGAGATCTTGTGGAAATTCATTTGGTCACCTGACTCTGTAAATGCAAAATGGATGACCCTGGATGTGTATCACTGAGCCTCAGTGTAACGCAAACTAAACGCAAACTAAATTAAAGGGGAAAATTCATTTTCTCGTCGCCTGGCCTTCCTGTTAAAAGCTTGAAGGGAAAACGCGCATTTCTTCAATTTAACGTCAGCGAAACTTTGAATTCGCTCGATTACCGTGAGATAGTGGACTCAGTAAGTGAAGTAGGATGTTTGATCCCCAAGTTACTTCTCCTTAATATTTGAGTGCGAAAAGGATTGTACCGCACAGCATCATCATGGCCAATATTTGAGTTTTTATTTTTGAATAAGTTTTATGTATAATTTGAAGTTTTCTGATAAATCTTCTTCGAAAGAAAACCATTGCGCACCCAGAAAAACACTTGTGGTTCCTCTCCTTTCAATCGTGCTTAAATACTCTCAAATCAGACACTGTCTCTTTATTTAGGGAGTGAACTTAGCAAAGTTGGTGGCTGGGAAAAAGTTGTTTTTTTCTTTAGCAAACAAAGCTGCCTATTGTGTCTTCAACATAAGTGCAAAATTAAGGACTGGTTTCCGCCCATCTTCGATAAAACGAAGAGCTTCAACTTTAAGACAACTATGATTAGAAAAATGAATATGGTCTTTGGATGGATTAATTTCGTTAATTCCAAGCTAGGTTTATGCCTTAAAACAATACAATGGAAAAATTAGCGCACAGCCGTGTAATGCGGTAAATCGCTTTATCACTCCATAGTTTCTGAAGCGTAGTTGCTTCATGTTTTTTTTTAAAGTTGGCCTCTCGCTAATTGCTTCATTTTTAACTCAAAATAATGTGCACGTAGGCCGAATCTTTGAGAGCAAATAGCTTTTATCCCATCAAAGAGTAACCCTGTAGAGAGGTGTTCCTTAATCGCAGTTTGCTTAGATTAATTAAACCTATTTAGTAATTGACTGCACGTGTCCATAAAAGCTTAAGACTTTCTTCAGGAAATGGCAAAATTCCTAAATGGTATTTACATATGAATCAAGCCAGACTACCTTTGTAGATGTTAGAGCACTTTCAAAAAGCGCAAGTTGGACCATGAAAAACCTCCCAAAAACTAAATACCGCCCACAAAATTTACATGCACTCGATCTGCTTTCGAGATATAAAAAATCTGAATGGTGAATCTTTTCAAATCCAAGAACCAATTTGGCGCAAAGCCACTTGGCGTTGCTTTCTGAGTAAACACTTTCTTCTCGAGATGAAGAGTAGGATAAAAGATACATTAGTCGTTTTGTGGTGGGAGCGAAGGCGTAAATGTGTTTGCTAACATGGAACATGCTCTTCCGCAATGTCAATTTATCAAAATAACTACGGAGCCGAAACAATTCAAACTCCCTCAAAAAAGACTTTCGCAGTTTCCCCTTACGAAAAGCAATTTTGAATTATTGTATTCTTAAAATTTGGATTTGTTCAACCAAACTTTATCAGCCAGTCCATGATTGGGAAATAAGCGGCTTACGTATTGGCATAAAGGCGACGCGCGGAAAATAATACCTTGCTTGCTTAAGTTATTTCGAAACCATTAAGAAATTAAGTAATCATGAGCTTGATGAGCTCAGAAAAGTTTCGTGAAAGGCCAAAATTGGGACCATTACTAAGTGGGTCAAAACTATAATGGAGTGAAAATCTATAAGATTGTTTTATTGATGGAATTATCGAGAAAGATAAGGGGCTGCAAGGCGCCGGATCTACCTGCGAAGATTTATTATGGTGCAAACAATTGAAATAACACTTTAAAACCAAAACAGTGAGATCCAAATAAACGGTGTTTTCTTATTAAAGATACAGTTGTCTCTTGGGTGGTCGATTGTTTCAGGTTAGATAACCCAAGAGGAGGAAATGTATGAAGCAAGCCAATAACGCGGGAACGCGTTTCATGTATTGAAGAGGATAATGAACAAACAAAACTTCTAGCGCCACTTAAACTAGCGAATCCATTTTGTTTCCTTTTGTTTCGCGCTTACTTTTAAGCGGAGTGAAATTAGATCCGACCAAAAACCAGCTGCCACATTAGCGAGGCTCCCGAGCTAACTTGCGCAAATTACTTTTCAAATTACCATCCAAAGAATCTGCAAATGTACATTGCTGAAACAGAGCGCTTTTGACCAACAACCTACCGGTGTGTTGATAGCGAACGTGTGTGCACTTCTGTCGATGACGAAGCTTCATTTTGTCGGTTTTTCGACGGAATCCACCGTCGGGTCAGTTTGCAAACACATATGGCGTGAAACCTCAAAGGAAAAATAACCGTCTAGATTCTTTTTAATGGACCGGATTTGTTTTACAGTTGTGGTTTTTATCACTGAAATTACTTTAAGCGATTTATAGAACGGCAATTAATGAGTTTTGCTAGGCAGACCACACATTTTGATCGACTCATACTTGTTTAATGGCCTAAGGGACAATTTGATTAATCTTATTCACTTTAAAGGAAACGAAATCATGCTAATGGACAGTAGGAGTGTATGCTTCGATGCTTGGGTCCGTGGATTGTCGAAGCGGAAAGCTAACCGTAGACTCACAAGTGCCAATTGACTGACAATTACTTAATGTTCCTTAGATAAATACATCGAAGCGGCATTATTTGATATGTGAATGAGTCTATCCACAATACATAAATATGAAATAAGTAACCGCCAACTCACTGTTCTTATAAAAGGCTTGCATTGTGTTGAGTAACAAAATCAATTTGTTTGTGTCAAACTTGAAATCAGGAGTGAATTGGTCCATTTTATTATATTTAAATCGATCCTTATAGCTTTTGTCTTCAGCCCAAAACACTGCACCACTTTCATACTATTGTTTTCCCCGCCGAAAAAAAGCCAAATTACTTGTACATATTTAATGGCGTTTAACAATAGCTAATGGTTTTCGGCCATTTATCCGGACTGCTAAAACCATTTGTCAATTTCCCTTTTATCTTCCCTAGGCGGAGAATACACGCGCCGACAAAGGAAATGACTTATCTTGACTTTTCTGTATTTTGTGTTTTAATAGTTAATTGAATTCCACCTTCGATTATCTTAAGATAATGATTACTAATTGACACCCTTTCGAGTAATGATATAAACTAATTGTGTAATGATCACCGTTAATTTAGCTGCCCAAGGAGGGACTGATACAAGGGAATTAGCTCTCGTACATTTGTGCACTCAGTTGTATCACTTTAACGACGTTTGCTTTGAGCTTTTCTGGTTGACGCCTGCTTGTAAAGCTTTTGGTATCAACTTAATAAGCTCTGAATGCGTATTCAAACAAGAGAAGCCCTGCAACTGTCAATCAGCTAATCGACGTACTGTAGCCGTAACAAAGAACACAAATAAGTTAGCCATCTGCTTCGAAGACATTTCAAGCAATCCGCACATCTGCGAAGGCAGAAGCACTCACCTAAAGGAAACACCAACATCATGTTTTACCAAGACCCTTTCCTGCTCTACCAACAACCGCCATTTTGTCACGGTAGTTCGAGTGCAAGAAATGCGCCAAGCCGTTCTTCTTTCAGGATCGACGACATTTTGGTCCCACGTCAACCTTTCCTTGTCCCTAAACAGCCAAGTTTTCAGGAGCTTAGATCTTCTGTTCCAAACAACAACCCGTTAAAATTTGGTATGCACTCGATTCTCACACAAAGGCAGCGAGAGGAAGTTCCAATGTTTCAAGGTGGGTTGACTAACTTTATGCCCCATTTTGCACACTAAAACTACTCTGCGAACCCACCTACCTCAAAATCCCACTGTTCAACCTCCAACATTGCAGTTTTATATTCAGGCACGATAATGTGCTAACTGGTCAATGCTATGCACAGTTGGCTCGACGGAGTCAAAGAATACTCCATTTTCTTCGTGAGCTACAAAGCTATCAAATGTGTTTGCTAATTAAGCATTCTGTACTGTTTTTGTCACACGGAACTTCTCTCAATGTCTTTCGATGTCAAAAGTTAAAATTAGCTGAACTACGCCTGAAACAACCTTCTTTAGTTGTAAAAGATTGGTAACTCATTTGTTTGTCCTTATTCAATGGCGTTTTAGAATGAATTGCATCCCCGGTGAAAAATTAAATCAGAATTGGCGGGAAACAATTCTTATTGGTGTCAGTGAGAGAGACATTTTCAGATTGTCAGCTGCGATTTCGAAAGAAAGGTTTTCAATTGACAAAACAGAAAGCTATCCTGTAAATGTAATCGTAGGAATTTGAACAGAGCTCAAAGAGTTTGGGAACTTACTTCAATTATCCAGTGGACGTGTGTTTCTGGAAAAGAAACGGCTTAAACCATTGCGTGTCCCCTCAGTAAAACTGGCTTTCATAGACATAACATCTCTATTGAATCGTTATTAAGATAATCTAATGAAGCGGCAGTGAACACACACACAAAAAACGTAATTAAGATTAAAGGGAAAATCCTCGATTTTTTTGGTGAATTTTTTAATACCACATGGTAAAAAAAGGAACTTGATAACACGGGAAATCTAGTGTTTCGAATTCAGGCACTTACATTAAATCAAATATATATAAAAAAAATGACAAAGAAAATGTCGCTGTAAAACCTTATCGGTCGACAAAATCCCAAGTTTAGTTGACACCGAAAATGTGCCTGAAATTAAACCGTTTGAAATGAAGAAACGGATATACCAAAACTTGTCGAAACTAATCATAGATTTTTAATCAAAGCGAAAAAATGCGCTCAGGATTTAAGACCTTTAGATTCAGGTTATCAGCACTATTTCCATTCACTGAGTAATATAATAAAAGTAAAACAGAATCATTGAAACAACAACAAAAAATTGTCTTTGTTGACTTGAAATAAGATGCTTTCGAGCCGTAAAATGATCTGGAAAATTTGGGATTTTTTTCTTTTAAGGTGTGGAATGACTAGTTTGGTATTTGTCAGAAATTAAAGGAAATTTTAAAGACGGACAAACTCTCTGCAAACTGCGAAAAACCTTGAATTCAATCATGTTGTGTTCGCCACTAACATGATTCTTTGTATCTTGAGCAAACGGCTTTGGTTCACCTGTTCTGGGTATAATGTTACAGTATAATTTGCTTGTTTTCTGTATTATAACAAAAAAGTAAGAACGGCTTTAAAATCCTTTAACAATAGCGTAACCCTTTGTAGTTTCCTCTCATGACTACAACTCCTCAAGGACCTTATGCCTCGAGAACCTATGCAAGGAAGCATATCTGCCAAAAGATGTAAATCGAACAGAGCTTTCAAGCACTTCAATCATCGATCATTGGCTGCTTTCTTTTGTTGTAGCAAAGCAACCCTTGAAATTTTGGCTGCTTTTAATTCTGTGTCAACACTTTTCAAGCATTTAGTATTCTTTATTGAGCCTGAATTGTCCCTTCGTCTGTTGACGTGGTAATTCTTCGCTCTTTTACAGATCCAAGTCCTGAAGTTTTAAGCCAACTGCCAGTGTACTTCCGCGTAAAGCCAACTTTGCGGACACCGAGTGGACGAAGATGTCGCAAGTCGCGCACGGTTTTCACAGATCTGCAGCTCCGTGTTTTAGAGAAAACATTCGCGGAGCAAAAGTATTTAGACACGTCGAACCGCGCAAAGCTTGCGCAAACGTTGGGATTGAACGAGACGCAAGTAAAGACATGGTTTCAAAACAGAAGGATGAAGTGGAAGAAGGAATCAGTTCCAGCAAATAACCAAGAATCCTCAACAAGTAGAAACGAAGACTCAAATGCACCAGGAGACGAAAAATCCGATGAAATCGTCACAGAGACCGGAAAAGCCTCCATGGACAAAAAGGTAGAATGAACAGCAAAGACAAAACTTGGAATTAAACTTTGTAAATATCCGCGAGAAATATCAATTTCAATTCTATTAGAGTCAAGACGGACAACTATGATATTGGAATTTAATATGTTTCTTACCGAATCTCATAACTATGAATTTATCAAAATTTAAAACCACGGAAGAAAGTCAAGGTAGCTGCTCACGCAGAAATATAATTTTCCAAAACCAGGAACTTACATGTATAGCATGGACAGTTTATTTTGAATGTACTTGTAACTAACTGATGTAAATAATACCTTGTCCCGGTGTAAAAATTTTGCATGGTTCTATTCTATTTCGCGTCCGCCGCTTGTCTTTTCTCTTAATTCTCAATGAAATAATATTAAGACATGGGAAACAGGTATTCCGATCTTGACTGTTTCAATTTTGACTTCAGCGAGGTCAATACAGAGATTAGAGAAGCTTGTGAGCATATTGTTGTAGAGTGGGATTTATTTAAGAGCGGTGAAGAGCATCTTGGCCGCGAAGCTTTTCATTAGAAATGTTCCTTTGATGAGAGGTGGTAGTATGACTGACAGCCACGATGCTTTAATGGTGAAAAAAGGCACTAATTGCTGCCTATTCTACTCTCAGGAAGACAATTATAGTCATTTGTCATAAAATGACAATAATAGTAAGCTTTTACGAATTTACCTTTAATTTCACGATGATAAAAGGGACAGGTCGATTGCCGTCTTTGAATGAACGAAGTGGTTATGGTTGGTTGAATCGCAATCTCTTCAAGAAACATGCAAGTTTAACTTAAAAGCTGACTGTAAATTTAAAATATACCACGAGTAAGAGAGATTTCGAGTATACATCAAATTGTGGGAATTTCCTTTTCCTTCGTAAAGAGATAGTCAAATAGACCCGAAATTTTTTTAGTCTGAAAATGGGTTTCCCACCCTCTCCGGTGTACTGGCTGACAGAAGAGCGACAGTACGTCTATTTTCAAATTTTCCATTTGTCAAGTACATTTCGTTTAAAGCTTTGAACAAATTTATCATGTACATATCCGGGTCAATTTGGTAGAAGCAACCGGACAAGAATGATATATAGTGAACATAGTTCTTTGTTTGGCTTCGAAGACAAATCTTTTATTCATTTTGAGGTTTCAAACTCGATCAAATCCAAATGAATGATTTAAAAAAAAAATCATAAGACTATCAGTCGAGATTTGCCCAGCCTTTGTTGATATTTTGGTTCAAACGTTATGGTAATAATTTTGGCGCTGCTACAATGATTACATGTTGTTCAACCGTTTCTGAGTGACCGTCTATAAAATGACACCATTTTCCGGTTAAATTAAATTTCTGGAAAAGAGGAAAGGAAATTACATGCCTCCTTGAAAAACAGTCGTTTGCAAAACATAGGATTCTGAGTCTTATAAATAAGCGATTTAGTTTTGATAATCGAGGATCAAGTTTTCTGTCTGGTTATAGCTTAATCACTGTTATTTCTGTATTGGTTAATGGCGGGGCTGTGGCGTCTGTTGGTGTCTAATCATGGATAAGGACTCGTTCAATTTGAGCGTAATCAGGCAACATTACAAAGAAGGGAACAATCGGAGGAGTAATATTTTCCCCAGATATGTTTTTGTTGTTGTTGTTGTTGTTTTTTTTAGTACCGTCTGTTTTGCCTTTTGCATCTTGGAAACCCAATGACTGGCTCAATAAAAAGATAACACATGATTGAGCCAATTAAATAAATTAAGTGCCTCCCGAAGACCAATAAGAAAGCAAGAATTTTGAACATTTTCCCGCGTTTTATTACAAAAATACGGCTATGGATATTCGGCAGCCCTTTGCGCTTGAACGAAATCTCACTAATTCTTGGCCTAACTGGGTAGTATCTTAGCTGAGTTTAAGTTTTCGGCGCTTAGTAAGAGGATTGTGTATCTGGCTCCAGGAAATATTTTTCATTGGAATTTTTCTTTACCGATTACAGTGTTTTTCCTGTTTCAGTAGACCGGTGCTCAGTCCATAGCTATGCACCACTCATCTCACGCAAATATGTCGCACTAGCAGGATGAGAATTATTTCAAAATTTTTTTTTATTGACGATGATATGAGAAGAGTTCGAAGGCACGAGAAGTTGCAAATACAAGTTCGACCATGCATTCTCAGTTGTCTTTAGCCCTTGTAATCCTTTTTTACAATATAATCGAGGATTTAATTATTTTCAACCAATCAATTCAAACCCTGCCGCAGAAAGGATTATTTTTTCATTACCATGAATTCCCTGTTTTTTTTATTTTGCAGATTTGTTATAAAATCTGGAGCAAACAGTAAGGATAGGACTAAATTTTCTTCGCATGTTTTGACCACGCTTGATAAATTTTTTACTTCTTATCTAAAAAGTTTCTAATCATAATCTGTGAGAATTAACGCTTATCTCAATTCAAATTAGACTTCAGAGAAGTCACTAACACCAAAGCCCCCACGAACTGTAAATAAAACATCAAGTTTTGACTGAATTGATACCACAGCCGCCCAAAAAGCAATTATTATTTATTGTAGTCTGTTTGTGTTCCGACCGATGCACTTTAATGGACTAATCCTTTATTATGCACAAACAACACTTCCTTGTAATGATAGGTATAAGTTGTGAAAATGCTTCTACTCTGCAATTACCACAGTCCCAAGGTTTGATGATGTCACAGTCGGTTTTATTTTTGTCTAAGGGGGGAGGGGGTTCTCTACCAGAGTGTAGATGTGATTTTGCGACGTGCTGTTCAACCCTCAGTGATACCTTAATTCAATTGGACCGAAGCATACAATTCTACATATAATTTGAGATTCGTCTCATGAAAATTGAAACTCCAGTTTAGATTAAAGTTACCGTACAGTGGAGATAAATGATAACAAATTACAGCAGGTTCAAAGTGCACATACCATAACTATTTCACACCAGAAACGCGCGAGATCTTACCTATAGAAGGAGCCCTGGATGTTTGAACTTTTTAAAGTTCCAAGATTAAGTCGCGTTTGATTCAGTAACAAGACTTTCAGAATTGATCGTCTAGGATTGAAAAGGATGTACGGCTACGTATGTCGAAAATCAATGGAACTTGCCCTTATCAAAGAGGTCTCGATAGTTTTCGGACCCTGGCAAATAATACTTGGCTATTTTTGGTTCCTTTCAAAATTTTCCCCGATTTGTAGACTGATATACAGTATACGTGGAAAGGAACAAATCCTATTTCTTTCCCGTCCTGCCCACATTAACAAGAAAAATCACGTCCTTTTTTTAAACCATCAGTCGTGACTTCCTGTTTTGTTACGAGGAACCTGAAATAACTGCAAAATGCAGACATATTTGCGCCTCAAGAGGCTATCCAAACCAAAATGTAAAAAACAAATATTAGCTGAAAGGGATTATATATTTTTAGCTGTTGATTCATTTCGAGTTCACCACAGAGAGTTACCTCTAATTAGTTCGCCTTGAGAAAATAACGTAAGTCTACACTTCGGTTCTATGATCTATAATCGAATTTCCAGAAACATTCAGGTTTTCTTCCCATAAAGCGCGTTTTTTTGGGGTGCAAACAACCAGCACGAGGTTAATCACACTCAGTTAGGTACCAAAGGTAACAAAAGCTGATGCTATATGTTCATTCAAGTTTTGGTATAATAATGTGAGGAAATACACCTGCTAATCAACATCAGCAATCTGTCGTAAAACACCCAGTGATTCTTCGCACTCTGAAAAGGTTCGTTTTTTTATTTATTAAGAATAGTTAACCCGGAATGTTATTAGTAAATACCTGTCACAGAAATCTCAGAGGAGAGAAACGTTTCCCCTTCGCATGTGCGCAGCCACGTTATTCTTTAGACCGGGAGCCAGTTCTCTTTTCTTTCAAATCACATCTCTAACTGGTCTTTACACTATTTTACATTCTTTCCCTAATTACTCTTGGCATGTAATAAGGCGTAGGTGGAGTACGTCAAGACCGTTTACAGGAGGTTTTCAACACAAAGGCTTGATTTAATCCCGTAAGAACATTCGCAGGCATAGTTCAACAGTAGGGGAATTATCCCGTCGCTGTTGACTGTTGTTAAAGTAAGGAGATATTTTGTTTTCTTTGAGCTCTGAGTTGGTCCTTTGAGATAAATATTTAAAAATGTCAATGGTAAAGTCTGGCGTAAAGTAATGTTGAAAAAATGAAAATTATCTGGGGCAGTTCAGTGAGTGCTAACTCAACCTACTGTCGATAAATTGGTGTTTTTTTTTCTTCATTTCGAGGAGGTGACTATTGGCAAATGACATTGATAGTTCATAAGTAAACTTCCTTTGTGAAATCAATGAAATCGATAGATGACTTCGCCCTTGGCCCACGAATTGTTTCCACACTTTCCGCCTCCTTATCTTGTCTGCGGTTAAAGAAAACGTGAGCGCGCGGAAAATAAAGACATCATGTGCTACTAAAGTACTATTAACGACATATCGATCTCTCGTTGCGTGAGGTCTGCCTGAAATGAACTTCACCGGCTGAGCTACTAAAGGCTGCTAGGAAACAAAGGAGTATATAACTTGCGTGTACAATGTATGTAAAACAAAAAACCACATGGAAACAGAAATAATGAACATAGCTATTGCTAAAGAGAAAGGAGCTTCTTTAAAACTTTGCACGTTGTATGATTTCATTTATTCAGACAGAAATATATTTAATCTACGAAGTTGGCAAATAGTTTTCCATCTTGCCTTTCTTTTGTAAAGTGTTTTGACTTTCGTTGATCGACACTAAGTCAAATACTACTCAAAATTTTATGGTAAAAAAGTCATCTTTAACTGAAGGTTTTAACAAACACAACTTAAAGCAATGATGTTGCATTATCTCTCAGAAAGTCACTTAAACTGATCAGACCGGGAAAATGACGACAAGCCATTTTCTTTTTCAATTTCAAGTAGACATGTAGCACCATCTCCCAATAATGTTGCGTAGTAATTCTTTAATGTGGTTGACAACAGAACGATATTATTTCATTGATATATCACAAATCAATAATTATAATGTTACTGAGCTCTGATTCTTTTTCACAGAGTTATAACGATAATATCTTTTATTGTAACAAGGTGGATTACGGAAAAGATTTCATGTCAGCTGCTCTGTATTTTGAAACTACTGTAAGATACGATCAACGTATCGACTTTGAAATCCATTCAGCCAAAGATTTTTTAAAACATGTTCTTTTGACCAAGCACTACTGAACTGGTGTTTGCCTTTCAAACTACATTTGCCGAAATACACTTCAGCAGACTGAGAAGAACTGAGAAGTATGAGTGCCACGTGCGATTCAGGAAAAACTAGCCGCAATGATTTATCGGCACATTTGACAAAGTACGAACACCTCTGATAAAGAACCTTTTAGGCAACGTCTCCGTAGCTGTAAAAACTTCATGAATATTGAAAAAGGTCGTGAAGGCTTTATT